AAGCCTTTGCATATTCCAGCGTTATATCATTCGCGTTTTATTATAAATGCACGAAGTAGCAAAACAGGAAGCCGGAAAAGCCAGGCCCGTATCTCCCGTTGAGAGAATAAAAGCGCAGTTATAAATTGGGAGGGAAGCGTGTCTCTTTCGCGACTCCGAGTGCAATCCAATAAAGTGTTTAGACTTTTCTGCTATGGAATAAATCCCGGGGCGACCAGGAATACGAAATAAATTCCCCGGCTAATTAGGTTAGCCGAATTTATTAACCTGACGGGTCCTTTCGTTTCCGTAAACGCCCGTTAACAAATTTCTTCCTTTCCGGGTCAGAAAAATAGAGATATTTTTGGCAAATCTGACGTTCACCTGGGAACATGCTGCCAGTTTCTCTAGAAACTTTGTAGAGAAGTATATGGTATTTTGTTTCGTATTTTGATTCGAAAATTATTTATTTGAATCTGTTTCGTGTTTTACTTAAAATTCATGGAAGTTCGTTTCGATTTTTCTTAAGTTTTTTGGGTGCTATAAAAATTGTTTATTAAACGGAAAATATCTTTGTTATAATCTAACGTACAGCATTGTATTTTAACGAGAGTTTTAATACTTTGGATAGAAAGAAATTGTGGATGTAAAGTTAGATGTAAGGAAATAGAAATATTTTTCATAAATATATTCCGATGAGAATAATTTAATTTCTTCAGAAATTATATGGTACAGTATCCTCTTTCATACTTTAACTCGAAAGTAATTTATCACAATTTGTTCTGTTTATATATTAAGTATGTGGAATATTAAGAAATTTCATCACTTAATAACTGTTAGTAAGGTAGAAATGTTATTAAAAAATGCAGTGGTCAAATTTAAATGTATTGGTATTAAATTTAAATACTAATTTTAATACTAACTCAAATAGTAATTAAATAACAAATTTAAATTAGTATTAAATTTAAATGTATTACTTCGGTATTCTCCAATTTAAATACAAATCATTGAAATTCCTTTTATTTTTCTTCTAAATTTTTGGACTATTACGAAATTTTTCTACTCTGATATTCTTAAGAAGAAATTATTTAAGCTGAATATATTAATTTCTTTTAGGTTTCACAGTCAAATATACAATATTTAATTTTACACTTTAGTTTAGATACAAGGTTATTAAATTTCTTTCATTTCCCTTTAAAATTTCGGAAATTCTATGAAATCATATTTAGACACGATTAAAATGAAGATACTTAAAAAATTTAGTTTTCAAAGCTTAATTTCTTTACAAATATTGTTGCTTAATAAATATATTACCGTGAATTCAACATAAACACATGTCATTGAAATTTCTTTCATTTAAATGTAAATTTATGTACACTGTACTGAACTTTGCTAATTTTCGAGCAACCAAATCGTGATATATGTCTCGTGGAAAATATTTGATTTATTTTGAAATATAATTTCAGTGGCACAGTCTGTCTGGTAGCAAGCGTACGTCAATTAGATTTCAAAAACATTGTTAATTTGAATGAAAAATATAGCTTTGACCTCCTTCCTGTGGCTTGATTCCAGCCATGCACGTGTAGCTACGTCAAAGTATTCTTTGCTCCTCTATCTACGAGAATTACATTAAAAAAGAACATGGAAGTTTTTTAAAACATTACTTCCGCACGGAGCGAAAGATTCTTTTCATATTTTCCCTTTTCCTCTACCAAACAGAAGTTAAAAACAGCAGCTATTTTACATCGCACCATTTTTATTTGCCTTTACGCATGTTACCATTTGCTTTTTGGTATCATTCTGAAAAATATAACGGTATATGTTATTAAAAATTTTATACATTAAATTATTAATGAAAACCGGACGTGTTTTTAATATGTCTTGAAAGCGTAAAAATAATGTTAATGATAAAAGTAACAAAGGATAAATTAACTAGCCGAGTAATCTAACATTTTGAAATTTTTTCTTTCAAACTTTGATAATTTTTCACGAATAATTTTGTATTTTACAATTTTTGTAAATTAATTTATTGTTGGGTTATGTCTTGATACTTTGCTGTGATTGTAGTACAGAAACAGATGGTAATATTGTTAATTGTATTATTGCCAAATTAATTAAATAAATTTTATATTTTATTTAACAATATATTTTATATATATATATATAC